GAGAATGCAGCTCCACTCCTGCCAGGAAAAGGCCTCATTCCTCAGCTCGGCACAGCTCCTGCAGAGTCACAGCCTATGTGCAGGTGGCTGTGTCAAAAACCAAGCCAAACCAAGCCAGATTACGGAAAACTGCCACGGCCAATTTATTAACGTACTGACAGACGGGTTACCGAAATCCATTTTAAGGAGAACGGTCATCTGAGCCACAGCCCACACTGGCAGACTGAAGCTGGCTAAAGGCGTGTGAGGTACTTAAATTATTTGTAGTGCTGCTGATGCTGTAATATTTTTCAACCAAATGACTGCAAGATCGATGGACTCTGCCCCACAGGCCTTAAAAAAAAGAGCCGTTTCCAGAACAGGTGTTCCATTTCCACTGGTTTTCACATTGATTTGCACTCCTCATTAATTAAAGTATATAGTCAAAAGAATTTCTTGTTTGAAACAACTACACCAATAGACTAATATAAAATTCATGCTAACTTCCAATATCTACACTTTAAAAGAATTTCAGTGAATATTTATCGCCGTTATCACAATTACAAATGTATCGGCATGCAAAAGCAGAGTTTTCTTTGTTAGCTCATTATTTACATCAGCAGGAGCTGACAACTTTTAGCCTATTTGGTCTATACTCTAAAACATACTGCTGAAACCCCTTAACTGAGTTCTAGGCAGCACTGAATCCACAGAAGATACCAAAGTTATATGGAAAAGCTCAGGAAAGGTAAGAGAGCTGCTCACTGAAAGCCTGAACTGGGTGAATTTTCAGTTGCGCAAAACAGCTGAACACCTGGCACCCCTCTCCCTTGCTCAAAAACAGGGACCCTACGCTAAATGCTTTCCAGCAATCCTCAACCAGAGCAAGAAACAAATCCGACACCAAACTGCACCAGCGCGTGCCAAACGCGATCTCTCCTCCTCCACAAACGACCCTTTCGGTTGGGTGGGCACGCGGTGACCGCCTCTGTTGTTCGCAGCCTTTCTAAGCAGGATGCGAATTGTGACTTCCCCGCCTGCGGTGGCCCCTCGGTGGGAGGCTGCAAGACGCGCCAGAGATGACTCGGTTCCACGTTGCTGCGTTCAGACGAATCTGGGCCGCGACAGGCAGAATGTGAAGAGGGTGTGTTGTGTGCCCGCCTGTGCGGCAGAGGGGAGGAGGCTGAGCAAATGCAAAGTAATTGCTATCCCTGAGGCAACACAACAGCTTCTGGAAAGGATGATGAAATGGGAAACCAGCACCTTCCCAGAAATCAAAGTGTTCCAAGTCAGGCTTCCACCTAATTAGCAACCACCACCAAGCAAAGTGAGACACACACAGACTGTCACCAAGGACACGATTGTTATTCAGAAGGCTTTCACCCACGAAGGAGCAAAATTAAATGCACCTATTAAAAATGAGGAGGAATAAATGGAGTTCCTGGCATAACAGTCAGTGGTGAACAGATTAATACCAGCAGAATTGCCACAGTCCTCCTGCAGACACATTTGAGCGTTACTGGGCTGACAGGAAGAGGTGACACTACCACTCCGTGCATTGAAGGTGAGACTGCCTGCATTCCCGTTACAGTCTTGGCTAAAAAAGGGATTTTGCAAAGAACACGGCAAGGCCATCCGGTGGAGCACCAGACGGGCTCTGTTCTTCCACTCCTGAAGATACCAGCACTGCCCTGCCAAGGCCTGCATCCTCAAACTCCCCTCCCATCTCCCTCGCCAGCCTGCGGTCCTCCGGCGCCCACAGAAAAAGAGTTTCTAGAGCTCTGCTGATTAGCAGGTAGATGCTGAGCATGTAAAGACGAAGTCAGGCATCTGTCTCCTAAAAGAAACGTTAGGTAGAAAACAAATAAAATCTCAGCTGTGCAGACTTTTCTGGCTTAACAACTGGTCTTGCATCAGCCTTTGAAGCCTCCCAAGCGAGGCCACGATTTTTGGACTCAAGTTCACCATAACAACTTTCAGTGGCAAAACTCTGAAACGCACCTTCAAGTGCTCATCTAGTCTCTCCCACTTCAAAGTAGAGTAAAACTTTGAAGAAAACATCACCTGAGACGGCACCTGCTCAAAATTTAAACCTGTCTTGCTTAAAGCAATAAATAAGTTGCACTAAACGCTTTGAAGCATCATTGTAGAGGTGCAGCTGGTACCGCTAATCCAGAAAGTGTCACGGGATGTACTCTGTCACGAAGAAAAGGAAGTAAGAGGGAAAGCCAGGAAAAGAAACAGCCAAGATAGAAACCTGTCACGTTTAGAAGATTTTCAGTATTCTAAAAAACATTCCAGTGAGCTCCACAGTATGCTGCACGCCATGAAGAATAAAAAGCAACTTTTGCCTACGGGGTACGTACCAAAGCAGAGGACACACATGCTGCCCACAGCCCATTCAAAACCCAAGCTAATATGTTTGTTCAGATTCAAGCAAAACATCCACAAGATAAATATCCTTCACTTCTGATGAGCCAGAACAAGAGAATTTCCTCAACCTCTTACCCAGGAGTTTTGCGATGATGTAAACTGCCTGTCCCCATAAGAAGAACTTGCCGTCACGTCCACTGTTGCTGGGAAACCGTTTCTGACTGCCAGGGTTCTTCTTTTCCAGTTCAACGAAGTCAGCTGGCACGTAGTAATACTTGGGTACAACAGGACACCCTACAGAGTTTTAAAATAAGTACAGTAAGTAAATAAATCCCACTTCCTTTATTAATCACAGAATCATAGAATCACAGAATGGTTTGGGTTGGAAGGGACCTTAAAGACCATCCAGTTCCAACCCCCCTGCCATGGGCAGGGACACCTTGCACTAGACCAGGTTGCCCCAAGCCTCATCCAGCCTGGCCTTGGACACTTCCAGGGATGGGGCATCCACAGCTTCTCTGGGCAACCTGTCCCAGTGCCTCACCACCCTCTCCGGGAAGAACTTCTTCCTGATATCTAATTATTTGATTGTAGTCCCCTAATAAAGCTGAAATGGAGTCCAAATAGGAAAAATGATACCCTAGCAAGAGTTTGAACAGAAAGGCTGTTGGCATTCACTGGTATCTCCCAAGACTTCGATCAGGGTAGGAAACCAGGGCACTATCAAACTGCTTTCTTTTTCAGCCAACACCTCCATGGAATTCCTTCCCAGAACACATGCACTGTCTGTGCAGCACCTTACTGGGCAAAAACAACTCGCCCAAAGCCAGAAGCAGTACAGATAGCAAACCGTAACCAAACGAAACAAAAGCTGCAGCAGGGTGAAACATTTGCGGTGGTTTTCCCCTCATTTCACACCAGCTCCGTACCAGACAACTTGTTAAAACTAAAACCCTGGCCAAAAGGAGTCAAACACTTAATTAAATGACAATTACTATTTTTTGCAAGTATGCAAAACCAAGTTAAATCCAGCATTCTAATTCTGAAACATCATGAAACAAAGCGGTAGAACTCCCTCCTTGGCAGAGAGCACATCTTGCATCGAGAACTACACCACAGGTATTGCTGATCACTGTGGAGGAATAACCTTTATTTCAACACATTTTAAGTGGATAAGAGTCAGGAATTTAGAAATGTAATTACAAATGATTGACCTAAATATATGTGATACAAAAGCAAATTAATATGCCTTCTGCAAAATTAGGTTTCACCTTAGTATTGCTTTCATTTTGAATTTATTTGGATAAAGAACAGGTAATAAAGAGAATAAAGTTAGAGTGCCTGGCCATTTGCTTAGACAGAAATAATTACTGGCAAGAGGCTGAGACAAATTGAAAAGTGAGAGTGATTAGAGACAGACAGCTCAAACGAGTGAGGTCTCACAACACACCCAGAAATACTAAGATGAGACGTTCATGATATTCAACAAAAGGAATCAAACAATTAATTTAGTGTTCATGTACGTTCACATACTCATTAATAATGACAAGGAAACAATGATCAGCAAGGTCAGAAGATGTGCTACGTAAAGGAAATTTGGCAAGGAAAAGTTTGTATTTCTCACAGAAACTAGTTCACTTCAGCAAGTGTTCTGAGGTGAAGGAACAAGTCAGACCAAAATGTTCTGCATCTCCTTGTGTAACTGTACCCCAGATCTCAAGAGCAGCTGACTAAAGATGCTGAGTTTTAAAATTGGACTGGCAGTACACTGAAGCTTCTTCTGTTCTCAGGCCATGTTTTTCTCCCCTCCCACTCAAACTTATGGTCGTCTTTTTTTTTTTTTAACCTGAATTTTGGGTGGATGTGACTGTAGGCCACCAATAGCCACATCTGCAGTTCCACCAAAATTCTGGAGTGCGCAATTTAAGAGAATGTTTATATTAAAATTACCATGTTTCCTCTTTCACTGCTCTAAGCTTGAAGCAATTTCATACACACATATCAAATGATGTGTGGATGAACAAGCTGCTCCTGCACAAAGTGAGCTGCAAGAAGGAAACCTACAGTGGGTGGAAGCAGGGACAGGTGGCCTGGGAGGAGTACAGGGAAGTTGTCCGAGAGCTCAGAGATCAGATCAGGAAAGCCAAAGCCCTGACAGAATTGATCCTGGCCAGGGACATCAAAGGCAACAAGAAGGGCTTCTATAGGTACACAGGGGATAAAAAGAAGATCAGGGAGAATGTGGACCCTCTGCAGAAGGAAACGGGAGAGCTGGTTTCCCAGGATATGGAGAAGGCTGAGGTACTCAATGCTTTTTTTGCCTCAGTCTTCACTGGAAGTGCACAAGCTGTACCCCCAGAGTCACGGAAGGCAAGGACAGGGACTGGGAGAATGGAGAGCTGCCCGTGGTCAGTGAGGATCAGGTTTGGGAACACCTGAGGAACCTGAAGGTGCACAAGTCCATGGGACTCAATGGAATACATTCGCGGGTCCTGAATGAACTGGCGGATGGGGTTGCGATACTTCTGTCAATCATATTCGAAAAGTCGTGGCAGTCTGGGGAAGTTCCCGCTGACTGGAAAAGAGGAAACATAACCCCCATCTTTAAAAAGAGAAGAAAAGAAAACCTGGGGAACTCCAGGCCAGTCAGTCTCACCTCTGTGCCTGGCAAGATCATGGAGCAGATCCTCCTAGAAACCATGCTGAGGCACATGGAGAATGAGGAGGTGATTGATGACAGCCAGCATGGTGGCCTTCTACGACAGGGTCACGACCTTGGTGGATAGAGAATGGGTAACTGATGTCATCTACCTGGACTTGTGCAAAGTGTTCCAACACCGTCCTGCGTGACATCCTTGTCTCGAAACTGGAGACACGGATTTTGAAGGGACTCCTCGATGGATAAGGAAGTGGCTGGATGGCTGCACCCAGAGAGTGGTGGTCAACGGCTCCGTGTCTCAGCAGGGAGCTGTAATGAGTGGCGTTCCTCAGGGGTCAGCATTGGGAGCTGTGCTGTTTAACATCTCCATTAGCGACATGGATGACGGCATTGAGTGCACCCTCAGCAAGTTTGCCAACGACACCAAGCTGTGTGGCGCGGTCGACACGCTGGAGGGAAGGGATGCCATCCAGAGGGACCGGGACAGGCTGGAGAGGGGGGCCACTGCCAACCTCATGGAGTTCAACAAGGCCAAAGGCAAGGTCCTGCACCTGGGTTGGGGCAATCCCAAGCACAAGGACAGGCTGGGTGGAGAATGGATCGAGAGCAGCTCCGAGGAGAGGGACTTGGGGGGACTGGTTGATGAAAAACTGAACATGAGCCGGCCGTGTGCGCTGGCCGCCCAGAAGGCCAACCATATCCTGGGCTGTATCCAGAGCAGCGTGGCCAGCAGGTCAAGAGAGGAGATTCTGTCCCTGTACTCTGCTCTCATGAGAGAAAAGTAATTCTGACTGTACCCAGGTGGAACACTGAAACAATCTGATTGTTGGGAGTTAATATTCTCCTGCAAAGTAAAAGTGAACTTTGTAAATAATGAAGCATAGGTAAAGGGGGGAGGAATGACTGGGTACAGAGTAAATCTTACATTTTTATCTGTAGCATTTTTCCAAACAACATTACTTTTATTGTCACACTTTATGATGCAATGTATCTACATGAAAGAGATTATTTAGGATTAGTATTTTGCCATCAGGAGACATAGTGTTATTATTACTTCTCCTTTGCTCTGACTGCAATATCCATTAACAGCAATGTCAGTTTTCATAACTTCAGATACATAAAAAGCTACAGTGGTTTAGACAAATGATTATCAGATAATACCTTCAGATGTATGCTGAAGCAAAGGATCCAGAAGATCCTGATACTCCGTTACTTGTGCAGCGTTTCCTCTAAAAACTCCTAAAAAGAACCAAACAATAATTAATTTCTTGGAAGGAATAACTGTTACATGAGCTTAACGTTCATAAAAGATGAAGAAAAAATATCTAGTGTTTATTTTTAATGGGGCAGTGCCTACATAATAAATAGTTCATGAAACATAAAAGATTAAACAGTAGATGCCCACTTATTGCTACAGCTAAACCTCCCCGGGATCATGAATCGGCCACTCTTAGGAGCTGAAACTGAAACCCATGGCCAGTGACATGGGATAGTAAAGCCGTGACCTCACACACGCTCAGGAACTGGACACAGACAACAAGCCCAGCCTCTGTAAACACCCTCCTGTTATGGCGGAAAGAAGGCGCAGAGCTTGTGTGCCAGTGTGGAGAGAAACACACTGGTTCTCAATCTTTAGCAGAGTGTTGCAAACTGAGCTAGAAGTGAGTGGTCTAGAAATCCCAATAAATAAATGCAAAAGGAGTTTGAGTAATAAATTGAAGAAATCCCCTCAAAAGATGCCAAGGAATGTCTAGATTACTAAGTTGCACAGGTAGTATATCTTCGTATTACAGAGAACTGCTAACATGCCTTGAGATAACAAACACAACAGTCAACTCTTTATGGTGCTGCTTTTGGGGGGAAATCGGGACGTTTGGGAGTACCCGTACCTTAAATGTTTTTCTAGCAGAATTCGGTCACCCCAAAATGACTCTGATGAACATTAACATGACCAGTGTTCATCACAGGTTCTTGCATGAACAGATATATCAAAACTATCAAAAGCATTTCTGTTCATCAAGGAAAAAGTGGATGAACTTCACAAGTCACACTGACGTTTTGAAATACATCTTTTGGTAACATTTAAATGAGAACGAATTAGATGAAAACTTTTGATGGTATAGCTTTCACTCATTTCTTCACTTGGTTTTCCTTTTCAATCACCGTATTTTCCACATTATTAAAAACCGCTGTAATGTTTCCCTCCTTGCCTTATCCTAGAAAATGACCATAATGCTGCACATTCAACCAGAAACGTAAAAGCCTTCAAAAATGCTATTCAAAGACGACTTATCCCACACACAGGCACACTGATTCACTTAGTTCAACCCTTCCCCACAGCTACAGGTGCAGATCTACTGCCCAGAGTCCTGAACAATTTCTATTTGCGAAACCTCCCAACTGGAAATCGGTACTACAGCAGTCTTTATGCAGGCTTAACACGGCCGAAACTCAGAAGGCAAAAGGATGCCAGGAGAAAACCACAGACACACCGTCTGAGAACACATACACCAGAGTATCGTTCTTAGCAGAAGTTCAGCTATGCCTGCTGGGGGCTGCGTTGACGTGCGTATGAGGTGTTCACGGACATGTGCGGGTGTATTTCTTGGTATACGCTGAGACGTGGTCTTTGTTGGGTTTTATGTTTAAGTTTAGATATGCTTTTTGTTAGGTTTTGTGACTTTGATTATATATACATACATTAAAAAGTCACAAAAACTTATCTTTCATGTTATTTTAAGAATATCCAACAAGTTATTCTACCAAAAAGCCAGAGTGCAGCAGAGAGCTGGAGTTTGACTACCGTACAAAGATTTCTTTCTTTCCACCACTCTTGAACGTTGTGTCCAAAGCCAAAGCTTGACAAGGTTGTTCACTACATTTGTAAACGGTCCCAAATGGAATTGCTTGCCGAGAGAAAAAAAATGCAATGGAAATTGCACACGAAAAGGGTTGTGATCAAGTGACACGCTGAACTATTTCAAAACACTCGAGCACAGTCGTGACTTAAGAGCAGCGCGATAGAAATTCTGACTGTCTGTAATTTAGTCTGATTGGCAGCTGCTGTAGAGAATGAAAAGGTGCATTTATGTGATAATACAGTTGCTTTTCTTTTAACAATCATCTAGTGAAGATAACAGTTGGGTAAAAACAGTCACCATCCCTGAGGAGTAAGTGCGTTACTACTACTAGAAAATGCATAACTTACTGAGTAGTATCTACTTGCCAGGACTGTTTTAACTCCCCGTATCTTAAAAGTCCTAAAAGGCTGTTATTGACAGAAAAGTCGATGAGCTAATCAGTTTGCTTTACAAAAGAAAACATAAGGAAATATACAGTAAATACATAGTTACTTGACTATGTTCTGCTACACCTTCAAAAAGGAAATAGCTGATAATGATCAGGGGATTATGACAATGATTCACAGTTATTTCCTTACTTAACAGAGCACTGTCCCACTGTTACACAGGTACAACATCCAGCTCTCAGGACTTGCCCAGATACTCAGTAGCTCTGCATACAAAGGCTTTCCTTTGTACTCTGCCAGTGTGTTGGTGGGCAAACAGCCTTTCAGCTGAACCTCTAGTCACAATGCAGCAGCTTGAGGGGCTTTTCCAAGGCTTTCATTGCAAAGACATACAACTGTAATCTATTCCTTCCATTTCACTGTCTTCTTGCAGTTTAAGTCGTTCTCTATATGCTTCAAATTTTGCATTAAGGAAGCTTGTGGATTTGGAGATACACACACAAAATCTGCTAACAGAATCCTGTGATGAAATTGTGGTGCATAAAAAAGACAAGGACAGCATGAGCAAAATATCTTTTTTGTACTTCTTTGTAATACAAGAAGAGTCAAATGTTTTCTTTATTCTTCTGCTAACTTCAGTTGAAGATGATTATCCTTCTTGTTCCTCCCAAAACTGCAAGTGGGCACCATTAAGTGTCAGTGCCTTTCTCCTCAGTTTCGGGCATCACTTTTTGGAAGGTGACAAGCATTCCTTTGGAAAAAAACCCATTGTGAAACGTTACTACATCTTCAAACACAGTATTTTCACCTGCGGGTGGCCATAGAGGAGTGTTCACAGACAGCAGATTTCCATGTCCCTCACTGTCTTTATTTCAAAACTATTCCACACCCTACAGGGAAAACTCCGGGTGGCTAGATTTTCATCCACTGACACCGCTTTTTGATGGCTGTAACCCTTACTCATTTTCTTATGCAGACTTCTTGTTCTATGGGAGTTTCAGCTTCCACACTGAAATCATCCTGTGACCCTTTTTTGTAACATCTCCTACCCTCAAGACAAGGTCATGGTAGCGGGAGTGGTGCTGGAGCTTTCTTGTTTTATTTAATCAGACTAACTGGCTACATGGAAAATTATGGCCAGGAAGCACAGGCATTTCAAAGAGAAACTAGGCCTTTTCGGGTTCACTTTCTTCTCTTGTGAATTCTGTTTCAATTAGCACAGAAAATCCAAGCTGAAAAGACCTGCTGCAACATTCCGTTTGTCAGCGTGTTCTCTTCCACTTCCTCTTCTCTCATGTGCTGCTGCAAAGTTTGGATACGCTGTGGAAGTCTGAGGCTTAAAAGGCAACGCAGGACGGAATGTCACAGAGTTAAGCTTGTAACAAAGCCGTACGGAGTAACACTGTAAGAACAGCTCACAAGATAAATGCTGAAGTACAGGGGGTGAGTGCTCGGGGCTTCAACCTACGGGGCAGAAGTCTCGGTGAGGTACGGCGTGTCACCGCATCAGGGTTTACTCTGGCAGGAGGGGAAAATCATTTTGCGTCCTGCCTCTACGGGCTCATCTCTCTAATGCCTTTGAAGACCGGGAGCATCAGTCTGCACTTACCGTCAATTATCATGAAAATAAAAAACAGAGGGAATTCACACTCAATGCCATCAAAAAGCTGAAAAGAAGAAAAATTAATCAGAGATGCCATCATTTGGGTTTAAGGAAACATACTTAAATACCCTATCGAATAATTTCAAAGCAACAGCTTTGCGTTTTGGTTACAGCTGCTTAATCCTACCGGCACTTTAACTGTGTATTTAGATATGCTGTGGCTCATCCTCCAACAGAGTATTTATACATTCTCTGGTTTATTTTCCACAGAGAACAAGAAAAAAGAGAAAATTTTCATTTAGATAACCTTTACTGAAAAATGCTGTGGCCAAAAGCAAAACAGTTTTCTATACACTCAGACTGTAGTCAGCTGTGAAATTAAATAAAATGATAAATGACTTCCTTATCTGTTATGTGAAATCGACTGTTCCCTCAATGCAAATGGAAGCCCATTCATTACAAAACAAATCAACAACTAACTTGCTGACTTGGCGATCTCAGCAAAGTGCCCACGCCAAATTACAAAGTGCATCTCCCTCACTTGAGGCAATTAGGGATCAGCGTGCAACTCAAACTGCAAATACTGGGAAGGGGTTCTATTACTGTTTCCTTTTCTTTGGGTGGTTTGCTGTTTTTAAATACTGCCTTAACATGTCAGAAAACCAAAATTTGTCCTTATACAGGCCAGGTTTTCCTTTACCTTAATTTCTGCTGGTTTATAATAACGTCGTGTTTTGTCCTCCAGCGCCGTTCTGTACCCATCTCTCAGAAATCTTTTAAACCCATATTTGCCTTTCAGTTTTCTAATAATTTTATCTAGTGTTTGACTGAACAAAGCCTCATCGTCCAAAGCAAATGCTGGGTAGCTAAGACAGGGCAGAAGCGCTGCATCGGTATTCTGTAGAAGGAGAGGGAGAAATAGCACATTGCAAATTTAATTAGATCTCTAACAATTATCTGGTGCACAAACATAGACTGTTTAACTTACTAATTGAAATATACACTTGGAATATTATCTTTATCAGAATCATAGTACCACTATATTAAAACAGAGTGCAAAATAATACTTCTGAAGATGTGTAAGGATAAACTACAAACCCAATATTCGGGTATGTGATTGGAAAAAGAGCTCATTAGACTCAGAATCTGACCTACTTCACAGCTGATAATCTGCAGAGCTAAGCGAATACACTGTAGAAATTTGTGGGTTTAGAAACAAACAACAAATTCATCCTCCAGGTTATTCCTAGAGGAAGCAAACATTTGGGTTTCCTATGCTCAAAAAGAAACACAAATATTTTTCAAAGGGGCAGTTCGGAAAAGTAACTAGGATTAAGTCATCGTTTCCGAAAAGCTTTCTCAGGAACGTTCTTCAGGTGCTGCGACAAACAAACCTGTCGGATTTACTACAGGTAAGCTGACAGAAACACCAGAAAGTAGTTTGAAGTTATAATTCTTATGTCACGTGCTGTTTCGTTATCCCTTCTTGCTGATGTATCTAAGATACTCAGCCATTCTTTGGCCAAGATCACTGACGTGAAACCATAAAAGGAAAAAAAAAAAGGACACCAAGACTGCTTCTGTAGCATAAGTGACTTAGGAAACCAGCTTCTGATGGAATGTTTCAAGGCTCCAGCAAATCATAAACAGAACAAGAGTTCTAAAAGACCATTAGACTATCAAAGAGTAGCTGACAGTGCATTTTGGTTTAATTACCCCGTATTACGACTCTACTATAATTCTTCTACCCAATGAGGAAACTATTAATGTTGAAGAACACCAGTCTGCTTTATGAACAAAGATGCTGTTACAGCCCAGCGAGAACACAAAAGCAGAACTCTTACCACTCATTCTGAACTGCTGACGCAAAAACCAAATTTGCCTTTGATGCTAGTACTGAAATGGATCATTTTTTAATTAATCTATGCTTACATTCCTTAGATTTACTCACTGAGGAAATACTTCTTTGTAATGGTAGCTTATAATAACAAATCGTCCGTACTCAGCACTTTATGAGACGCCAACCTTCAAGGCTTCATTTGTAGACAAAGGAGTGAATTAAAGCTAACGTGTTTCAAAAACACAGGCGCTCAGTGTATGCTGAAACCAGGCCAAAACGAAAACAAACCCCAGCCTGCGAACACGCCTTGAGTTCCTGCAGATCACTCTCTTAAAAAGTGTTTTAACACTGCTTTGAAAGCTACCACCAGGCTACCGTTGTAACCTCCCCGTTCCGAAAATGAGGAATGCCACCACAATTCCACTTCAGAGGAACGACATCGCAGCGACATTTCACAGGCAAACCTTTAACATCTTCCAGGCAAACCCCAATCCTTATTAAGGAGGACGTAATGGCCACCACAGAGGCAAGAATTATGTCCACATCCATTTATTTTCACCACACTCTGTGGAGATGAATTTCATTTAATTACTTACATGAGACCTTGACTCTCGGGGCAGCAACGAGCACAGAGTCTGCCTGTTGCGGTTATGGGCATCGAAATCCACAAATATAACAGACCAAGAGCAGCCCTGTGAACAGAACGTTCAGCGTATGAAAGGGGAAGAGAGGAAAGGTTAGCGTGTCCTGGTGCCACTCGCTGCTTCTCTGATTCAGGTTATGTCCCCATAGTCCGGTAGCTGGTAATTTTAATCAGAACATGTACCTCAGCAAGTCGAAAACATTTAGAATTTTCCAACGTATTGAAATATAGACAAAACTAGATAGTTTAATCTACTAGTAATTATGAATTATAGGATTCATTTAAGCTATGAACTCTTCTGCTAATACCTAAAAAACGATGACTGTATGAAGGACAAACAAAAAAGTAGCTGTCCCTCCCTCCAATGTTCCAAATAGCAATTCCTTGGAAACTCAGTGCAGTTGGTTGATTAACAGATATCTTCATATATGTCGTAATTGATATTGAATCCCAGTATCGCTGTCCCATTGGAGGGCACGCTTAGCACTGAACTCATTCCAATACTGCCATAAATACCAGACCGTAGACTTTCATAAACGTACCAAATTTCTCTTCAGAAGCAGTTTATTTGGCACACTACTCTCTTGGGAAGACTGTTCCAGAACCCACGCTCTCTAATTATTAAAAACTTTAATTTCTAACTAGGTTCCTACATAACCAGCTAACCACCCTTCTTTCTGTGCCAATACTGGCATCCAGTCACTGGGTTTTCCAAACACCAGAGGGATTATTTCTTCCTTACTCTTTCGCCCCACTCTAATTAAAAACCCATGTTTTCCCACTGTCCTCATGAAAAATCATCTCTGTTCTCTTTATCATTCTAGCAAGACACACTGAATAGTGTTGAGACAAGAGTGTACATCAATAATCACATTTGCTTGGTGATTTATCATTCTCCTACTTTCTTCTTAATTCACGTTGCGATTATTCACAAATCTCTAAATTCACCTACAAACCCTGAACACAACCTGTCTACACGTGTGAACATGCGGTTTCAAATTCCGTGCTTCAGCAAAGGATTCGGTGGGGATTCAGAAGGAGATTCATTTGCATTTCATAAAACCACATGCATCTTGTTCTACAAATGAATTATTTTTCACCTCTCTGAGGACGGTAAAGGTCTGAAAGTCAGGAAACCGTACAAAGGCTTGATTTTTTTTAAACATGTAATTTTTTTCCACAGGCTACTATAGGACATGGAGCTCATATACGAACAATTGATTACACCATGACTGTGTCGGACTTGGAATGGCGTTCATCCTGTGACTAGCAGTCCCATTCTAGTGCATCATGCCTGCACCATGCACTTAATTCATGAGCTCATTAACTCACACTGCCAGTAAAGACACGTCCTTTTCTGTAGTTTTTTTGCTGACATGTGATTTTTGCTAAAAGCTATTGTAGCTATAATAGAATGCTGGCATTAATGAGACAAATCCTACGGTATTTATACTCTGAAACCAGAGGTTTGGGTTAACCATATCAAGCCCAAAAATGATAAAATAAGTTGCAGCACTTTTACTAGCGATAAGTCTAAGGTGATTAAGTAAAAACAAACTGTCAAGCAATCGGGGAAAAAAAAAAAAGAAAACAAAAAAAGCAGGCCCACTTCGACAGTTCTTCCACACAAACTTCAGCAGAACTTAGGGTGATCCAATGATTTCAGGGTCTGGCTACGATCAATGTACAGTTAAGCACTGTAATAAAATTCTTATGCCAGTGTCAAACATATTAACTAGTTCATATAGATTTACAACTATTGTTTCAGAGATACACATTTATTATATACTGCATGTATTCTAATACGTGCTGTATATAATCTATTATATGTTATTATATATGATATAACGTACTACAGAAATAATATAGAGCTGGGGGATGGAGGGAAGGAACAGTTCAATGTGAACATCAGCAATAAGCGACCTTTATTTTGTCTTCTCTGGGTGCATCCACAGGTGAACCGCCCTACCGTGCCACCCTCAAAGACACGTATCACACGCGCTTGTGTTGCAGCACAGCTATAGCTCTGCTTATTTGTATGGATTACTCTTTTTCAGCATCCACCGCCAGAGTGGGAAAACCTGCATGGAAGGGCGGAGTGGTCTGCTGTCCGAGGAGCGATTTACGCAGGTTGCACTAGTGCAGCTGCAGGTACAAACAAGTTCCTCTTGAGGGACTCAGCAGGATTTCTCAGAGCTGTTGGAAAACAGCTGGAGTTAAGCACAAAGGCAAACTGCCGCAGACTGAAGGTCAGAATGGTTTCTGTTTATGCTAAATACCTTGGAAATAAACCCTCAAAGCATTTAAACTGGTTTTGCTTCAGCAATTTATTCATCCATTTCAGAATTCAGTAAAAAGCCATTTGAAAAAACACCCAGCAGATGCATTTACTGGTGCTGGAGACTGTTGGGAAGGTGAAGACTGTAGATAAACGTTTTTTCCCTGAGATATGGACAAGGAGTGTATAATGTCTGATCATTATTTTCGATCCTTAGTAGCTCCTGGTTCGTAACGCCTAACGTCAGCTCGTAAAAGTCTGTAGCCAAGCGACCGGGGGGTTCGGAACGGTGTCAGTGTGTGCACAAAGGGCGCTGCCATGCTTCTCCACTCACCAGCGACCAGCCGTAGCCACTTCCTGAGGGGTGGTTTCTACACAACTACTCTACTGTGCTCCAGCTCTAGTGCAAGCATACAGATACAAAAAAACCCAAAAGTAAACACCCCCCACCCCCAAAACCCCACCAAACCATAAACAAAACCTACCACGAGTAGATACCCCAAAACAACCTAACAGCTGCCTGAGTCTATAACAACCCTTGTTCCGGAGGATCTCCTGGTTTATGCCACGGGAGAAATAAGGGTCTAGAGCTTTTTGTCAATAGATGAGTCACAGTCACAGAGTGGAAGGGG